CACACTACATAATATTATAATTGTTAGATAATAAAATAGTGTCATCAATGGTGTCATAATATTATGTGAAACAGTAATAATAATAAGAAAAAAATTAATCAACAGCAATTCGCAACTAACAAAATGTTGTATTATACATTACAATGTATTACCTATTAGATTAGATTAGATATAAAACGAAAAAGAAAGGAACACAGCTATTAAATGGTGTTTATACAAAAAATATCTACAACAGCCGTTCGAACACTGCCATAAAAATTTAAATAACATAATAATATGCAGTATCTTATCATTTATACACCTAGTACCTATCTACGCATTGTTATTAAGATATGCACTGTATGAATGGCTTTTTAAATCGTTATTAGTTATTCCTACTATTACGGTTAAATGTTGTGCTTACAGCATTTGTTGTCAAAACAAAGTATTTAATTTAAACGTTGAGTAATTTACTCTTTTTGAGGGGATCCATTCCCTGACCCAAGAAATGTGTGTGAATTTTAATAAATCGTCATTGAACAAATGCACCATGATTATGTCGTTAAAATCAATTGTATGTTTTTACAAATTATTTATTCTTATGATATTCACTTAATTAAGAACCAATGGCACTCTTCAGTGGCACAAAGACACAAAACAAATATTGTCAATGTAAATATAATTAAATTTAATGAATTACAATTTATATACACATCAGTAGTAATAATCTAAAATACAACTATTAAATGGTGTTTAACAAAAAAACATTACTTTTACTGAACAAAACAATTACTACAATGTCAATTATATAAATATTGTAATAATTACATTTATAATATAATTAGAATAAAACGAAGAAGAAAATGGTGTTTAACAAAAAACTTATACTCTATTAGGGAATAGTGAGTAAAACAATTAATACAAATATGTCGATTATTATAATATACAATAATAATTATATGTGAAGATTTATATATTTAGTAATCTAAACGATCTCTCAACCATTAATACAATATAAATTAATCAAGTAGTTCAGCGATACAAAGTGTACAAAATATTATGAATATCGTGAGTAGGTACAGTGAAATTTACATATTAATAAACACAATACAAATAAAATAAAGTAAGTTTTCAACCATTAATACAGTCTTCATTAATTAACAGCGGTTCACAGTGATTTAGTATACAAAAAGAATATACATATTATGAACATAGTAAAATTGCTTATTAATGTTAAAACCAAGAAGAAAGAAATACAACTCTTAGTAAAATGTCAATTATCTAAATATTGTAAAAATACAATATATTATATATTTATATACAAACAGTAGTAATATAATAGTAATGCAATTTAAAGTGTACAATCTAATACTCTTTTAGTGAATAAAACAATTAATGTAATTAATACATTTTCCATTAATTTACAACAAACATAGTGAAATTGACTTATTAATGTTATTTACATCATATAATTTAGGTACATTAGAATCTTAAATTAATGTTCCATTACAAATAAAATACAACATTCAAATTAAATAAATTGTCTGCACTATCTGTACTATCTATACAAATAACACAGACATTACATACATTGTTTGACATAAGTTACGGCTTCACATTATAGTGAATCCGCATCCAGAGAGAACCACGAGGAGGTTGTCAAACTTTCTCTCCGTTTAGCCCGAAGGCAAGGTCATCACGAAGTCACCTCCACACAGGCCACGTATAACAGCGGTGTAACGTATTAAGTTTGAAAAACGTATTAGGTTTAAAAAAAACTGTTACACATGTTGGTTTAAAGTCAACCAGACTATCAACAGCGGTATAACTTATTATGTTTGAAAAACGTATTAGGTTTAAAAAAAACTGTTACACATGTTGGGTTTAAAGTCAACCAGACTATCATCGGGCGCATGTAGTACACAGACCAGTATAACAGCGGTGTAACGTATTGTGTTTGAAAAATACGTTACACATGTTAGGTTTAAAGTCAACCAGACTATCATCGGGCGCATGTAGTACACAGACCAGTATAACAGCGGTGTAACGTATTGTGTTTGAAAAATATGTTACACATGTCAGGTTTAAAGTCAACCAGACTATCACCATCATCTAGACTCGATCGTCGGACGTCACCTAGAATATACTTACCACTTATTGCATTACAGAACTTCCCTGTACACGATGTTCTTGGTGACGAATCGCCCGCTGTCATCGGCGTACATGCCGACTTTCACGGACTGTGCGTTTCTCACCCTCGAAAACGCCACGTACAGCTGCCCGTGAGAGAACGGGGGCGTCGTCAGAAGCAAACCTACCCTGTCGAACGTCTGACCCTGCGACTTGTTGATGGTCATGGCGAACGACAACCTCACCGGGAATTGAATGCGCTTCAGTGGGATGGGCAGGTCGTCCTCACCGCTGGACCTGAGCGGTATCTTGGGCAGGACGATGTCGTTGTCCCGTGGGTCACCGCCCAAAATCCTCGCCTTGAAATTGTGTCGCCGCAGTTCGGTGACCACCAACCTCGTACCGTTGCACAGTCGTCTCCTCGGATCGAGATTTCTGAGCAACATGACGATGCACCCCACCTTCAACTCGAGCCGGAACGGCGGCAGGCCGTCCGGTACCAAAGTGTTGAGGAACTCTGTGGGGAAATTGGCAACTTCGTCGGCCGCGTCCACCTCCGCGGTGTCGACGGCCTGGTAGGTCTCCGAATTGCCGTCGAAGCGCTCCGCGTTGACACCTCTGCACTCTTCGTTGGTGGGACACACGACGACTCTCCGAGCAAATTCTTCGACGTTGGCCAACGACATTTGCTGCGGATACACGAAATCGATTAAATCGGCGACGTCGCATACCATTTCCTGCGGGATTTCCACCGTGTCCGGAACGCCGTCGACCGCGGGCAGTTGGCCGTTGCCGTTGCCCGCGCGCATGTTCTGGACCAGATCGAAGCGCTCCATGACGTTCCAGAGATGGTTGTTCTTGATCGACGACATGACGATCTCGGCTCTCGTCCCTCTCCAGATCACGGGCAATATCTGCCTGAAGTCGCCGGCGAACAGCATGGTTTTACCGCCGAACGGTAAGTTCGAAACCATGACGTCCTTGAGCAGGCGGTCCACCAGCGTCAGTTGCAGTCCCGGCGACATGGGGGCTTCGTCCCAGACGATGAGAGCCGCGTTGCGTATCCTCTGCGCTCGCGCGGACTGCATGGTGATGGTGGACGTCGAGTCTTCGGTGAGCGTGCCGAACGGCAGTCCGAACGTCGAGTGCACCGTCATGCCGCCGTCCATGAGCGACGCGGCGATCCCGGTGTACGCGACGCACAACACCTCCCGCCGAAGCTGCCGAAGCGACCATATCAGGCATCCGTACAGCGTAGTTTTTCCCGTACCTCCGGGTCCGTCGACGAAGAAAGTTCGCGTCACCTCGACTGGGTCTTCGACGGCCGCCATCACGCGGTCGTACACCGTTCGCTGTTCGGCGTTCAAGTTTTCCACTTGTTGGGCCCACCGTGCCGCCGCGTCTATTTCTCGGAACAGCGCGTTGTCGTCCTGCAGCGGTTCCAGTAGTAGAGGGTCGGCGAGGGGCAAACCGTAGTCGACCGCGGGTGACTTTCCGTGACCACGAAGTAGATCCTCGATGGCTGCCAGACACGCGGCCCTCGCGCGGTCGACGTCTTGGAGACGCCGGTTGAAGTCCTCCATCAGGTTCGCTTCGTTCCTCTCGTACAACGCCAGCGGGTCTGCAGGCAGGCAGAACACCAGTATAGTGACGAACAGATACCGCAGTTGCCGCGGCGTGTCCACCAACGCGGATTCATCCAAACAATTCCGCCACGCTAGGTCGTCTTCCAATAGTCCGAGTGCAATCGCAGCCGCCGTGTATGTTCCGTGAACGACCCCGTCCACCGTCCTTATGTCTTGAAAGGACTGCGGGCCTCTTCGGTTCAGAAGTAGCAATCTCAAGTGGAAACGGTCCCGGTCCATTGGGTTCACCACGTACATCCGAGCCAATGTAACGTTTGTCATCCGATTCACCCGCGGACGCCATTGTTTGACATTTTGCTGCCAGGTGTAATGCATCGGTGTGTCTTGGTACAAGTATTGTCGAGCCACCACGTTGGTCGCGTTGAGCGCGAAGAACTGCGTGAGTTTCGTGCGACCAACAGCTTCGTTCTGTAGCCGTAATTCTTCTTGGCCCGGCGGAAAATACACGTTGTGACGACCCTCCAGGTGAACGGGAAGCCTGAAGACCGTGTGACTTTTGTCGTGCAGTTTGTACGAAAACAATCGCCAGACGGCTTCTGGCGGGCTGACGTACCTCGAGTTGACGTACCTAAAAAGGAATATTGAAAAGATTAGTAACAATATATTGGCTGGCTCAATATAAGATGATACCGTTTGATGTTGTATTATTATGATCATTTATTTATTTTTTATTCTGTAGACGCATAGCATTGCATTGCAATATAATAATATATTACAATGTTTAATAATTTTAATTTATTTTGAAGTGAAGCGATTTGAAACGTTTAACCATACCAGTGTTGCCAACATGTAAAAGTCCGTTGTCCGTATACATTATGTCAAATTACCGTATAGGACCGTACGTATACTTTTTGTCAAATTACCGTATTGGACCGTACGATAATGAATTTGTAAATATTATCTTTATGTTTGTTATCAGTTCGAGTTTATTATCATAATCAAAATATGATATTATTATTATTTTATTATACATTTATAGTATTTATACCAGTCCGTACTCCGTAGTCCGTACTCCGGCACTCCATAGTCCTTGTTATATAAATTTATTACTCTACATAACTCTATATATTATTTGTCTATACTCTATACTCCATAGCTGTGCGCCTGAACTCAATATGTTAGAAATACTACAATAGGTATGTGTAAATAGGATGGATCAATAGGTAAATCAATAATCAATTAATTACTTTTTAATAATAAGTATAATATTATAATACATTATAGTTAATTTTAAACAATACAAAATTATGATGTAAAATTTCCAAATTCTACAACATCATTTGAAATTTCAGTTTCAGTTGGTTCATAATGATACATTGTTACATTCATAGAATCTATCATTAATTTGGTAGGGTTAAAATGTATACAAGTTGTACCTTTAATATGTTCACTAGACAGTAGTAATCCATTTAATGACTCGACTTGTAACCTATTTCTCACTTTTGTTTTTACTAAATTGACTTTAGAAAAAACTCGTTCACAATCAACAGACGAATGAGGTAAACTCAAAATCTTTAAAACAAAACTGGCTACATTTTTAAATTTGAACTCACCATCACATTCCCAGTTATATAAGGATGTCCAAAACTCATCAACGTATTTAATTGTTTTTATGGTATCACACAAATCAATTATTTTCAGCTTTCTCCATTCGGTATCAATTACTTGAAGATCAAATTTGCTATATTGTGTAGATATTCTCGGAACTTCATTATACATCGATGATAAGGAAACGAGACACTCGTTGCTCAATACAACTTTGGTTGAAACTTGTAGAGTTCCTTTAGTAAGGAATTATTAAAGTCATACCTGAAAGTAAAAAGTAAAATTGAGACATGCACTATATTTGAATAATAGTACTTATGTTTTATAAATGTGAGTGTGTTATTCAAATACCTTTTTTTAATTTGTTTACAGGAAACAATTAAAAATTGTCTGCATTTATCATAAAATTCGGTTAGCATTTGTTTATTGGAATTTATTTCAGGCTTTTGAATCAATGTCATTACATTAAACCCTAAATACATTTCTTCGTTCCTCAAAAACATGGATCTATCCTGAACATCACAATTAAATGGATCTGGGACACTTCTTTATGAAAGAATATAAAAGCTCTGGTAGACAAAAAAAAATATTTACTTAGTAATACATTATACAAATATTATTCATAAATTGGATTAATTTAGCTCTTTTTTATCATAACTACCTTGATATGTTTCCTTCATTCTAGTATCTAATACAGCAATAACACTTTTTTCACTTTGAAAGAGCTTATTCAAATTTACAAACTTGGGTAATGCCCACTCCAAAAAGTTGTAAAATAAAAAATTCAGTGGATCATTTAAATTATTATAAATGGTTTCTGCCATTACAACACGTTCTTCAAATCTATAATCAAATACAGTTTTTTTTAAATAAATATATTAGGTGTTTTCTTTTTTCAGACATAAAAAAGAAAATTATAACTACCCATGTAATCTGAAAAACATTTTAAGAGGTTCCCACTGTTCCAGAATCCGCTGAACTACCATCAATAAAGACAACCATCGCGTTTGAGATTGGTCTTACTATCCGGTGTGGATAACATCACAAAATGTTTGGAATCTCTTTGAATTGAGCAATTCGTGTTACAGCTTGTTTTGAAAAAAATTGTAAACAGTCTCGTGCTAAGTCTTCACTACTATTAATAATTTAAACAAAACAAATTAATCAAACTATAATCTTACTAAGTAATAGTAAATGTCTTACCTTCGAGGCAAAATTTTACAGGCTTCACTAGCACACAGCCTAATGAATGGCAAATACATTTTTGGACCATAACTCACGGAAAATCTTCTTAAATCGACTTGCCACCGAATTCCAAGGTCCAAACATTGTATTACAACCGTCAGATGCAAAGCCGATTATATTTTCTAGTGGAATTTTTTCATTTTTAAAAGAGTTGATTACTTCAGTATAGATCTTGCTTGCAGTTGCACCTTCGTTAGCTGAATCAGGATCTTTAAACATTTCAATTAGTTCCCAAAACCTTGACATGATCTTATTTGTTGTAGGGTTAAAGTACCCTAACACAATGCACAAGGTCTTAAGTGTTCCCACGTCAGTACTTTTCATCGATTAATAACACTGAAAGTTGTGTTTTTAAATCTTTGAACTAATTCTTCCTTGTGATTCTTACCAATGACATTTTGTTACAATTTTAGTAGCTGGGTAGTAACCACTGGTAGTACACGTCTGAATACAGGTCGATTCGGGCTCCCTTATATATGAGGTTCCCCGTACCCTTTGCCTACATATACGATATCTCGGTTCTCACGGATGTGATTGTTGTGGGCATTATCCGGCCTACGCATTTACGGCTGCGTGTATTTCTACATTATGATTATTATAAAATAATCTTTTTTACTCTTTTATATTTTGATTTCGTCGTATTCAGTTTTTCTGTAAAATATTTCATCCGATTATTTTTTAACCCTCGTGTCTTTTATGTTCCCTAATCTCCCGGTTATGCCGGTCCACCTATATAGTATCATAACTTTGCACCTGTGGAATTTGTTACTGTCAAATGTTACTACGCCTAATTCCGAATCCCGATTCATCGTATATTATAATAATAACTATGTACTTATGAAATTGGTATTACTCCGTAGTAGCTGGCTTACTACACGGTCTAAAACTCGAATTTTTGAAAAAAACTGCAAAAAAAGAAAATCGAAGTTTTCGACGCACATATTCACGCCCGTGTATAGTAATAAATAGTATCAAGGACTGCTTTGACGGGGAACGCGAATAAGTCTTCGACGGAGAAATCTGAAGTCAGTAGAGGCGGCAAAATTCGAATTTAAAAAAAAAACCGAACATTTTTGTTAAATACGATAAGCCGGAAGTGATAGCGAAACGACGAAAAAAAAAAGTGAAAAAAAAATTCTGATTTATCACGGCCGCCGCAATTTATTCGAATATCCCGGCGGCCGGGTTCGAAACCACGACTCTCGAGTAACCTGTCCTAACGCCTAACCAACCTAGCCACCCACTGATATGAAATTCAGAGTCAAATGTATGACTCTTAAGCCACGTCGCCGTGCACGCGAAAGGCGAACGCCGTTTGGACGGCCGTCAAAAGGCATTTGAGCGGGCTATCCGACCGCTTCGGCGAGCGGACCTCCGAATCCGCCGCCCTCTGACGTATGAAACGCGAGATTTGCGAAAAAAATCGAACCTCGAGACGCATGTATTTATGCCTGTATATAGCGCTACCTACTCGGTACCTACTCTCGTTTCCGCGACGCCATTTCTCCCCGGGGCTCGTTTTTGATAAAGTAGGGCCGCGCGCCGGCTATAAATTTAGCGTGGAACGCGAATAAGGTCCGAACGGGACCTTCCGGGGGCCCCCGAGGGGGGGGAAAACTCGAAAATGTTGAAAAAAAATCGTGAAAGACGGTCGAAACCGCGAAAAGCGATAAGGAGGAGTGATAGCCGCGATTTCCCGCCATTCGTTCCTTTACTGTCCCTATCGGTGTGGCGTTGCGGATTTTACTGTCCCTATCGGGGGACCCGAACTCCTCCCCTGGGGGGGATAGGGGGTCCGGGTTTGCGGGGGCTGGTCGGCGCCCTCGAGAGCCGCTAGGGTTGCGTCAAGGGGCAAAACTTTTTTCCCGGAACTCTAGGAGCAACCGTTGGGGAGTTACGGCCGAAAAAACCGTGGGGGACCGTAGGGGGTCTTCTGGCTGGACTTAAAAAAGCGATAAGGAGGAGTGATAACGCGATTTCCCTCCATTCTCGTCTATAGCAGTTGAGATTTAACGCATAGGCGGCGCCACACGTGTTCATGCTTTATAGTATAGAGACTAGCTCTCCGAGCGTCGCTGGGGGACACCCCCAGACCCCCGTGACCGGACCCCGAGTGTTGTCGATTTCGGAAGCAGCGGTGGTCTCGTGGTGTGGTCGACACGGTATATCGGCGAACAGGTGGTATGCCGATAAGGATGTGTGATAAGGCTAGGACCACTGCGGTTCGACGTGGTAGCCCGTGGTAGCCAGGGCAGAGTCTTTGACAGAGTCTTTTGGACGACGCCACCGGAAATTCGAAATTTGGTAAAAAAATAATATAGTAATTTTTGTGGGTGTCTAGCTGGTGTCAGTCACCTCGAATAACGTTCGCCGTAGTAATACGGGTGGGCTATCCGACTTCGTGCGACGGCCGAGTTTTATAGCCGCCTTTTTGTGGGGGTGTCTAGCAGGTCAGTCGCCTTCCTCGACGTCACTGCACATAGGACATGAATCATAACGCAGAACCTACACACGATTACGAAAATCTAATATAGTAAAATGAAGTATAAAAAATAATAAAGTCGTCGTATTTTTGTGGGTTTCTAGCAGTTCGGACACCTAGAATGACGTTCGCCGTAGTAATAGTGTTTGGGGTCTAGCGGGTCGGTCACCTTCCTCGACTTCGGTCGTAGTCACCCTGGAAGGCAATCCGACAATATTCGACGGCTGGGGCACGTCATCACGTATGCAATCCGAAGTCTGGCGCAAAATCAAGTAATAGGTCACATGCAAAAAAAATGGTATTAGTCTTGGTGTCTAGCAGGTCAGTCACCTTCCTCGACGTTGGACGTAGTAACCCTGGTAGGCAATCTTACTCCGTCGGATAGTGCGACGTCCGGGTCAAGGCATAAAAACGCCAAATTACGTAAATCAAAAATATATGAATAATAACATTTCGGGCGCCCGTGCTAGTCGTAAATTGTAATTTATTCGCCGTGATTTGTCGAGTGTCTAGCAAGTCGGGCGGCCACGTGTAATAGTTTTTGTCGTTTATAGTAGTAGAGCGATTTAGAATCGAAACTCGGTCAGCTGATTGGGATTTCGTTTCCCCATGGTCTTCCGAAAAACACGTAAACGTTTCCCCGCACCGACATGATCAGTCAGACCCAATGTCTCTCGTATCACATAATAGGCGGGAAGTTATCCGCTGATACCACCGAGTGGATAGACGATAAACGGTCGGTGATAAGGCCTACAGGTTTGGCGGTATTCTGTCGAAGGCGGGAATGTTTGAAAACCATTTTTGCGTGTATATCAATGAAATCGAGTGATGGTCCTAAGGCATTATTATGAACATATGAAAAAATTTTGCAAAAATGAAATAAGAACGATGGCCAAAAGTGTAAGGTTTAATGCCGTGTTCGAATGAATAATATAAAACTATAAGATAATTAATTTGTCAATACAATAAATTAATTAATCGGCCGTGCGATATCGTTACCCGCATGGGTTACCTGCCTTGACTTGTGATTGTCGCCGTTCTAAGACCAAGCACTGCGCCGACGTCCGACTTTAAAATCATTTCATTCAAACTTTCTCAACCAGAAACACGTGAGTATACATTGTATTATAAATTTAATTGGTGGCTTTTTAAAAACCTTTTTTACACCGCAGATCGTAGGTAATTTATCAATTAATATAATGTAACACATGCTTTCCGATTAACGAATTTAATATTTTATTTTAGTTTTAATTTAATATTTAATAATACCGACAGATCACTTAAAGTTTCGTTTTCCTATACACTTTCTTTATTGCTTTTTATTCATCAACTTTAGAATGATTAACAATGCATAGAACATTAGAGGCAATAGGCGCAAGTGTACATTAGGAGCTTGTTTTTTTAACACGTTTAACGCGGATCGTATAATAATAGGCTAGTATTGTGC